TCGATGCTGTCCAGAGGAGGGCTGTCCGACTGATCGATGACTCTTCTCTAACAGACAGTCTTGGGACCCTTTCGCACCGGCGGGCTGTCTGCGATCTAGCTCTCTTCAATCGCTACACCAACGGGCTTTGCTCCTCAGAGCTCTCTTCCACGATGCCGCCGCGCGATGTGCCTGCCAGAGAGACCCGTCTGACTTTGGCCTCCCATCCTGTGTCGAGCTTCATACACCAATTGGCCAATACTATCGCACCTTTGTCCCGAGGGTGTCGAGATTGTAGAATAATCTACAAGTTTCCCAGTTCTACTAAGCTTAGGCAGTTCAAAAATCGGATTAACAAAATTTCTTTGTGATCATCATAGCAGCAGCGGTGTCCCAGTATTTAGGCTTCTGCCTGCGCGGCTGCTTCGGTATAAATAAAAATTGTTATACTCATTAACTTAAGTAATGTAAAGTCTTCACATGATAGAGTGCGAACTATTTGTTGAACTGTCACCAAAGATATATGCCCCTATTCGTCGCTATCTGAAATGGTTGTAAGGTTTATAATAATCTAAGGTTAAGTAACGTTTATCTATTTTGATTGTTAGAAGAGTAAACAGTGAAACATTTTTTTTTTAAATAGTGCGAACCAGGTGCGTTTCTAATTTAACAATATCACTTCAATAACGTTGTTTCAAATATGTGAAATATTTTGCGAATAGCTCCCTCAAGCAGTACATAACTTACCTGAAATATAGTTTTGTTATCAAAACAACGGTTGTCTTATTAAGGTATTGATATTCAGATAAAAAGAACATTGCCCAAAGATGTCTCAGAAGCATCTAGTTCTTCGATCTCCCTCATCATTTTCTGAAACAAATGTTGTATGTTATTTTCCATTGAAGATGATTGAAGAGGTCCTCACTATTGTTTTTATCTGAATACCAAAGTGCTAGGAAACGTCATGATAGAATGAGTAAGTCAGCCTTCTATATCATCTAAAAAATAATTGTTTGAAAATTTAAAAAACATGGATCAGACTTTATTTTTTAAAAGTAGCTCACCTGTAAGAATAATTACTCATTAACTTTGTAAAGTCTTCACATGATAGAATGCGACCTGTCCGTTGAACTGTCTCAAGAGTTTCTCATATTCGTCGCTATCAAAAATGGCTGTAAGGTTTATAATAATCTGTCATAAGAATGTGTGTACAGGGTGTCTCAAAATATGTCAATTTCTGGTATACATATAGGTAGAACACAAAAAGATAATGCCATAAGTTCTCCCTCAAAAAAGTGTTCGATGTTTGGCAAAAATAACAGTTGTATGAGTTTTCAGTAAAGTTCTATCAATGTTCAATCAAACTCCAGTTGGTTACTGAACTGTCAAAATTTTGTTTAATTATACAGTGTCGTTCAAAAGGTACCTAAGAAGAACCGATTTCCAGTAACGTCAGTTTTTACTTTCTACATCATCTCAAAAATTTCGTATTTTTGCGAATAAACAAAACTTTATCAGACGAATTTCCTCAAATGTGCTTACCTAGTATATTTCCTAAAGTGACTGATTCAACTTCACCTCATGTGTAAATCTTCTGAATCTAGAGCTTATATGAACTCTCCCTTAGGTTGCCATAGACGTTCTATATTTCTATTTATCCTATTCAACAACGCTATCTATCTCTTTTAGTTATCTGAAATCTTGAAAATGACATACTAGATGATTTTTTAAAGAGTCATGTGTAACATTGGCAAAGCTTTTACTCCTTGGCGGTATAAGGAGTTGCGAAGGTTTAGATCGCGTTGAATACTCGTACATCCACATGCGGATTATAAGTATTCCTACACGACGACGAATATGGTTTACAATAAAAGATAAAAAAAATACACTTCACCCCTTAACATAACTCGCTCACAATATTTTTCTGAAAATGGGCAGGAGATACTCCTCAACCTCAAAAAACGATTTTTGTTATTGTCGTTTATTGTCCGAAGCTCCGCCATCACTTGATCGATTTTCAAAACCTACAGCCTAGCATCACAAACTAGTTCTCCTGTGTACCTTAACCAGTTTCTCTGACAATTGAGATGCTCGTCTGAAACAAAAGGAATAGTGATGTTTTATGTGATATGAAATAAAAAAAATCAAGCCGATGCTATAGTTGTCAGAGGACCAAAGAAGCGATCACAATAGGATCAGCTATAAATATTTCATCTATATATCATTTTATACTATTATACTATATTAAACATGCAGACTGTAGATGTACTTGCTACGAAAAGGTTAATTACACGGTACTTTTCGAAAAGGTCCCTCTGCTTTACACTTATTTCAATTACTATCTGCTGTACTCTATTTCAGAATGGATGCAATCGAAATGAAAACTTTTCATCGATGCAGATGTCAATATTTTCCTCTTTCTCTTCTATCTTATCTAAATTTCGCAAATCGGAGAATGTACCTCATAGAGTAAAATCCGGCGGCGGCCAGACCTTCGTTATTTGATAAACGATGAAAGCTTCTTTGCGCATCTTCCCAACTTAGGTAAACACAATAATCGACAATGAAATTTTTATTTTGGTCACTTTTGCTCGTAACACATATCAAATAGTACCTCAAATTGGTTAAAGTATAGAGCCCAGTTTTTTTATATTTCACCCAAAGTGGTCCTGATTTTAGTTCAAGTATTCGGACCCAGAACGTCGCTCCCACTAGTTCTGAAGCTTATCCTGGTTATCGTCACTGGAAAGCTGTCATTCCAATCAGCATCGATAATCCACCATGCATATTGGGCTTAGATTACGGTAGAACCTTTTTCGGGAAGAAATACATGTCTGGTTTTCTACCTTGAAGTTTCTTACCTTACCAGTACATGTGGTAAGAGATCAAGATATAATTGTTTGAGCTACCAGTCTTTTACCCAAAATGCTACTAACGGTGCAGACATAAGATGGTTTTGGAAGGACGTTTACAGGCTGAGGCCGTCTCAACTGAAATATAGATACTGTGGTTATTCTTAACCAACCAAAGGGG